GGCGCCGAGCAGTCCCGGGCCCGGCGCGGGGGGCGGGGAGGACGACTCCTTGTCACGAACTCTCGGTGACCTTGGCTAAGTCACTTCACCCCCCTGAGCCGGCGCCTTCGTCTGTGAAGTGAGAACGATAAGCCCCGCCTACTGGATGGGGCCGTTTGGAGGGTCAGTGACGAGACCCCTCGGGGTGGCCGCAGCCCCAGACGGTTTGCGGCCACCGACCGCCGCGACTGTGGGAGACGCCCTCTCGGGGTGGCATTTTGTTACCGGCTTCGCGGAATAACCCTCATTTGTGTGTTTTAAAACTCCGGAGTGTTATGAAGTCGTTGCAAAACTTTTGTTTAACAAAAACAAGAGACTTCAGGGGCTTCCTGAGGCCCACGTTGTCCCACTGACACTGCGGTGCCCATGAAGCTTTAGGGAATGGTGAGGAGCAAAGCGACCCGTAGCTTGGGAAGAATGAATATTTGATTCCTCTTGTTTGCCCAGACTCTTCTGGCTCACATAGGAAATCTAAGGCGCTGGCCAGGGAAAATTATTTTCTGTCCATAGGAGGCCTTTGGGATCTGTGGCGTCGCTCAGGTTTCCAGGGAACGAATTTTGTAGAGACTGAGTATGGAGGAACTTGTGGTGCCATAGCCTCTTTGGGGAGTGATGTGGGATATCAGGATCCCTCCTGGTAGGCCAGGCTCTCTGTTGTCATGAACACCCAACTATGAATGCTAGAAGGTCTCAAAAGCAAGAAGCCATATGAGATGCTCCAGGTTGGACGACATTTAGAATATCTGAATTGACTGAAACTTTCCACTGCAGGTGACTAGCATACGGACACCCGTTCTCTGACCTGCTACCCCTCTACTGACATGGCCCACCGGGGTGCAGAGAGGGACTTCCAGACCTCAGCACGACGCATGGGCACCTCGCTGCTCTTCCAGCTTTCAGTGCACGAGCGGGAGCTGGACCTGGTTTTTCTGGATCACAGCTATGCCAAGCCATGGAGTGCCCACCCAGATGCCAGTAGTGCTCGGCCCACCCGCACGCTCTTTGTTACTCCCCGGAGGCAGCACGAAAGTACCATGTGAGTGTGGGCTCCTCTCCTACGGGCTGCCATTGCTCTAACCGGGCAGTGATCAGATGGTGGGGATTCGAGAGGATTTTACTGTGAGGGGCATGGATGTTTAATTCAGGCACCTCGGGTAAAGCAGCGGGAGGATCCCAAGCCTAT